GAGTGCTTATGCGATACTTGGATGACTACTTTGCACTTTGGCCACATGGTAAGGAAAATTTAAGTGAATTACTCAATTTCATTAACCAACTTGATGAAAGAATTAAGTTTACAATGGAGGCTGAGGAAGATGAACGACTACCCTTTCTGGATGTTGAAGTCATACGCTCCAGAGGGATACTCAAAAGGAAACCTGACAGAAAGAATTCGTATGAGGGAATAATCCTCAATTTCCAGTCTCATTATAACTAGACTTAAGATCGGGATACTGATCATCAGAAGCCTACGACTAACAGACAGAGAGTTCTGGGACGAGGAGTTAGATAAACTGACACGGATTTGCCTTAGTAATGGATACCCCAGAGAATTTATCGAGAAAAATGTAGAGGTTATAAATAGCCGATTTCACCTTGGATTTTATGAAAATCAGATCAGGAATGAGGATAACAACCAAAAGTGGATTTGCTTGCCCTCATCAAAACTGAGCCAACAATTTCGACCTTTATTAGGAAAATTGAATATCAAGGTAATAACAAAGAAGAATAAAACACTTTTCACCGGTCTGCCAACACAACACGAGAAGACGGATAAACTTAAATGTTAGGCAGTTTATCGCATCAAATGCGGAAACTTTGAGCAAAAGTATATTGGTGAAAGAGGACGAAAAATCGGCCTACGAATCAATAAACATCAAAGACTCTGCAGGAACATGGATACACAAAGATCAAAAATAGCGGAACACATTGCACGGACGGGACATGAAATAGACTGGAAATCGACCGATAGGTTGGCTGGATATGGTGAAAACACGAGAAAACGTAAGATCCGAGAGGCCATTGATACACTGACTGAGAGGAATCTAATGAACAGAAGACTTTAAGAAGGCAGGATCAGCGAAAACTTGGAGAAGACCAGGCAACAGAAAGATCAGCAAAAAGAAGACGACTGGATCAAGTTAATATACTTAATTTTAGGAAAAGAGATCGCAAGGGGATAGAAAAAGAAGAATCAGAAGCCAAGAGGAGACGTCTTCAGTGAGCCTTACCAAAACAAGTAGAACCACATTTGTGGGTTGGCACACAAGAGACTAGGACATAAGAACTGACAGTCATGGTATTATAGATAAAAACAGGAAAAACGAGGTGGAGAGTAAAGCTGTTTGGCTAAAAATAAACGTGTTAGATCTTAAACGTGATCCTTAAATCACGACTATTTTTAGCCAACCAGTTACAGCTTCCACTGTTTCTATCCTTTTTTATCTATAATGCCAAGCCTATTACTTCCTATGCCCTAGTCTCTTATGGGCCAAACTACAAACGATATGGTTCAACATTGAACCTAATCAAAGCGAGCAGTACCAGAACATTTGTGGGTTGGCATGAAAAGTTATAGACTTGGTATTAGGGATAGAAACATGATAAAGGACGGGGAGCGGAGCTAGTTGGCTGACGGTATGTCTATTATACCAGACGTGGTACATGTAGCAAAGGGGTTGCCATGACACTCAGAGGCTTGTGCCTCGAATTAGTCACCCAGACGCAGGTAAGGGCGAATATGCCTCGAGTAGGACAGATGTTGTGGCACGAGTCGAGTGAAATAGGTGAACA